CCTCCCGCCCGCCCGGGACGCTGCCGCCTCCTTCCCACAATGCACCCTGACGCCCGGGGGTGCCCTCTCTTCCCTCAGCCTCCCTCCCCGCCCTCCTTTCCGCCGACTTTTAAGCGGGCGAGCACGCGCACTGAAAAGAGCCTGCCGGGGTGTGGCGAGATAGAGCCGCGACAAGGCGCAGGCGGACACTGCGCCTGCGCGCAGCCTAACTCGCAGGGTGGGAATTGCGCATGCGGACCAGCGCCGGGGACTAGAGCAAGCGAGTCCTGGGTTGTTCTGGTAGGTTTGGCGTGCGTGTGTTTAGCAGATTTGGGGCGAGTTTGCACGTTACATCACCGTTGCAGTTCTCCTATTGCTTTATTGTATTGCAGTAATCGCCTTACACCCCTAAGGGCAACGAAATCAGGACGACTTTGGTGACTGATTTGCAAGCTCAGTGGCAAAACTGTGAGCACCGGCTGGACCCAAACGTGGGTTGTGGAGGATTTACTATTGCCCAACTTTGCATCTACTCATTGGCCCCGTTAGCATCTCAGATTGAGCCTCCCTAGCCTCGACTACATGTTAAGCGGGGGAAAACTCAGAAAAGCACTGTTTCCTGGCGAGGCTTCCAGAGGATCAAAAGAATAGCGACATGATTATGTCTACTGTCCTATAGAGATTGGTCCCTCTGTCTTCCTCTCACGATTGTGACCTGTTAATGTTCCGGTGTTGTTTAATGACAAAATGAGTGATCGCTATTTAGAACAAAGGATTAGTATCAAATTTTGCGTAAAATTGAGCAAGTCTGCAAGTGAGACCCACCATCTGTTAAAAGAAGCCTATGGGGATGAAGTCATGTCAAGGGCTCGAATTTTTGACTGGCACAAAAGGTTTAAAGACGGGCGGGAAGATGTTCGAGATGATGCACGAAGTGGTCGTCCGGTCACCCACAGAACAGATGAAAATATCCAGAAAGTCAAGAATTTGGTTTGTTCAAACAGGCAATTAACAGTGAGGATGATGGCTGAAGAGTTAAATTTAGATAAAGAAACTGTTAGACTTATTCTGAAAGAAAACTTGAACACGAGGAAGGTTTCTGCCAAAGTTATGTCAGGTATTTTGAAGGACGAATCTAAACCTGGAAAACTTGAGTTTCAGTCTGATCTTTCAAAAAAAAACTAGGAAAAGTAGCTCATTGATGAGTAAGAAGGCAACAAGTTCTGAAACATGGAGTCATCTGCAAGAAGAAGCTGGTGAATCCCACCCCCAACTCTACTGTCCTGCTAGCCAGCTTCTGCAGGCCTCATCTTCAGCAAGCCCTTCCAGCCAGTTGGCTCAGGCTTGGTTCACATCATGGTGAAATGAGAGGAATCAAGTAGCTGAGCTTGAGCCAGGAAGCTACCTCATGGTTGGACCCTTTCATTTGCTGCTTACCTGCTTTCAGTCTTCTCTACCATTTATCCATACTTGTCATGGCCCTCCTATTTATTCTGTGATGGACAAGGGGGCCATCTTTCTTACTATTCACCCCTTTGTAGTGCTTTTGACTGTTAACTTCTGGTATTTGCTTGTTCTTGATTTCTTTTGCTCAACACGTTTGGATTTCTCTCTCTGCCCACCTCTCAGCTTGTTATGGCCGTTCTGTTCCTCTGTTCTCAGACTTCTGCCTCAAGGGGTCATCTATATTTCTGTGCCCAGGGGAGCATGCTGTTCAGGAAGGACCCCAAAAGAAAGCCTACAATTTCAGCCTGCTTTATATGCAAGGCTTGAGGTATAATACAAAAGACAAGTAGCATGCTGACATATTGAGCAGTGCTGGGCCTAAGGGGTGCCCTGGCCAAAATGATTGGGGGAGCCCCTCAGAACTCAGTGGTTGGCCACAAATGCTAATTTTCTGCAAGATACACTCCACACACTGAAGAGCTAGATTTGTTTCATTCTAGTCCTCTGCTTTGGATACCCACCCAGTTGAGTATCCCCTCTGCTGGAAGAGGAGAATCTGACCTAGAAAAAGATAAAGCAGGGGACCCAGGTCAAAACTGTTGTGTGAGGAGAAAGACTAGGTGATTCTTCAGATCCTAAATTAAAGCAGTATGTAGTCTGTGTACTACTTCCCACACAACAGCCTGTTTTTAGTTACTAACACCAAAACGGTCATAGTGTCAGTGTTCTTTGAGCACCTGCAGTTTTTAGAACATTCTTGGATGTTGCTGGTATCACCACGGGCAGACAGACTTCATGGAAGAGGTGGTTGTTGAATGAATGCATGAGGAAGGGTGCGACAAAGGACTAGAAGATGAGGGAAAGCTTCCCCAACAGTGTGAAACTTGAAACCTGTGTCAGTAGAAAATGATGACACTATTGGCTAAAATGGCAAAGTCTAAAGGGGAAAATAGTGGTGCTGCAGAAGGTGAACAGTTTGGGGTAATTTGCTTCCTTTTCTCTGCCCTGTGAGTATTTTATAAATTGTTTCTCCTGAGTCTGTGAGTAGGTTTATAATAACCCACTTACTTGATTATCTAATTTTCCTATCATACCCTATAAAGCAATCTTTCCATATTGAAACTGTCCTTTCCATTTCTGCTTCTACTAGGATTTATGGAATGGAACTTTTCCCAAGTGGCTTTCAAATAATACCATATAGACTGGAAACATCTCAGAGTACCTGATAGGAATCAGGAAGAAAGGAGGTAACAGCATTTCACAGTATTGACCACTGTGTTTGTTTTTGAGACAGGGTCTCACTGTATATTTCAGACTGGTCTTAAACGGATGGACTTGAGCACACAGCAATCTTCCTGCCACAGCCTCTTGAGTGTTGAGATTATAAGTATGTGTCACTACCCCAGTTGGTGTCTATTTTACCCAAGGATTTTGACACATAAATATCTCCCTTTATTTAATGAGTAAGGAAATAAACAATATTGGTTAATAAGAGAGGCTCAATACTCATTTGTTCCATAAAGTTAACGTTTGGTTCTCTTCTTTCACTTTACCATTTTTAAAAACTTACAAATTCTAACTCCTGTCAGTTTTGAGGCACCATGAAAGCTAGACTTTGTCCCACAAAGAGGAGATTATGTAAGAAACATTTTAAGTCAAAATGCAGTTAATAGACTTCCATCTACTTAGTAATTCCTAGATACTCCAGTTCAGAACCACCAAGTCTTCATACATTAAAAGAGATCCTAGGTTATCCTAAAAAGATTTGTCACCAGGGACACAGTATTTCAGTAACAAATCATCCACTGTTGCCTGTTGCATCTGTATTGCTGAACATATTAATCCTGACTCAGGTCTTGTGGTAACCGTTGCAAAATTGTATGTTCCTGGGCCCAGTCTAGGATCCCACAACACCTACAGGCATTATCTTCACCCTATTACAGGAGTCCTGAGAGAACATACTTCTGGACTTTACTGCAGTCCTTAAGTAGGACTGGAGTGACCTTGACAATGATACAAGACCAAGACCAATGTCAGAGTGTGAGTACCAGAAACACAATTGATCCAGATAGGGTTTGGACACAAAGATGCTGGAAGCAGGTAACTGGAAGTGTGAGTTTGAATTGCCCCAAGTGGCTGTTATGAAAATAATTTATTTCTTTAGATTATATTCAAAACAGTCAAGTTGAACTATCATTTGAATCCATTTCCCCTTTGCAAGCCTTCCCAGAAAATATTCAGGGATGCCTCTGATTTGGGGAAAGTAAAATTACTACCCTAATACTTATCCAGAGCAGAATGTCTCATGTGATTGCTCAGAATCACTAAAGCCAAAGCTACCACATGAAGTCCTCGGAGAGTTCTTAATATTCCTTATGTGCCCACCTGCCAAACCAATTTTATAGTGGAACCCAATCTTGCTGCTTAGGCCCCTTGAGTTCCTGGTCCTATGGTCTCAGATCTAGCCTTTGGTTTTTTTTTTTAGACCAGTTTGCTTTTGCTTCTCTGATTCCCTGGTACTTTGTTTTCTGGTTCTGGATTATATTTCTGAGAGCTTCTCTTGGTCACTTAACCATGCTTTCCCTTTGGTCATGTTTTTTTACTCAACTCATAACTATCTCTCTTCTGATTTTTGGATCCCTCTTCCGGCTCCATACTGGAGCTGTGTTGCTGTCAGGAGCAGAAATTGTCTGCTCCAGCCCTGGCCCCAGGTTACCTTCTTATCCTGAAGAAGCAAGGTAGAGCAATGTAGGGGAATGATGTGTTCTTGTTTTTCTTGTTTATAAGGGATATAATCCACCATCTGTTGCATTCCCCATATGCAACCAGTGTTACCAGTTTCTCAAGGAAGCAAGTTAGTTATCTCTGGTAACAAGAAACCTTTTTGGAGTGCTCATGTCCAAATTAATTCTCCCAGCAACTGTATTTTCCCTGACAGGATAAATTCCACCTAGCTGCAGGTTATCAAGCTCGTCTCTCTGTAGGAATACCAAGAGAACTGGCCATCTGTAAACTTTGACTATAATTTTCAAGTTTAACAGTCTGTGAATCTCTTTGGCTTTCAGGTTGATCTTCCCCACCATCATCCGCAATCTGGTTCAGAATCCACATGGAATGTTATGTGCCGCAACTGAAAGTCTCAGAGGAATAGACTCCTCCCAGGGGTGATTATCTCATTATTGATTTTATGTAATTCTCTGCCTCCCTTATTACCCAGCCTACCTTGCTTACCTTCCTAGTAATGGTCAATAAAGCAAAATTAAAATGTTCACCAAATCTTTGACTTAGGAAAACATGAGGATGATTCTGCAGTCCTGGATTCTCTGAGCAGTCCTCTTTCCCTGAGCAGAAATGTGATCTTTTAGGGAGAATATATGCCTGGGGAGTCCTTTCCAGAGCTTTCCTTACAGCTCCATTTGTTAGTCCACCTTTGCGTTTGGAAATGCCTGGATAAATCTGGATGCTAAATAACTTGAGGACAGCTAGTAATGGAGTGCAGTGCTACTGGGGAACTGTCTGTCACTGGATCACAAAGTTTTGCCTGCCCCACTTGGAAGTGAGACACTGCTCAGTTTGCTTATCCTCTGCAGATGTTTTCACAAGTAAATCTCACTGGGATACTTGGAATTGAGTCTCACCAAGGTCCCATGTAGCTCAATTAGTAAGAAACTCCTTTTGCTCTTGAACTGTAAGTTATTCTACATTCTCCAACTGCTGCTTCAGTTGGACCAGCTCTCCCATGATTTACCAGGCTTTTACATCTTATCTGAGGCAACCGCTGTATATTTATGCTTTCCAGTCTCTGCCTTATCAGATCTTTGCAATCACCCTTCTCCCACTGTAATATCCACAAACAAAAAAATATCTAGTGGAGAGTTCAATACCTCCAAGGACCACTTGGGTCTAGTCTAAGGGTTAGCAAATCTGTGAAGGGAACACCCTCAGCTTTGTGAGCTATATGGTGTCTGTTGCAACTGCTCAACATTTTAGTGCAAATACAGACATAGCTAATATGTAAACATGAACGTGGCTGTGTTCCAATAAAATTTTATAAATGGATACTGGAATTTCAATTTCATATAGTTTCTACAAGATATTTTTTAAAAATCTCCCCCCAGCCATTTAAAAATAAAAAGCAGCAAGTAAGGTGGCACACATCTATAATCTCATCACTTGGGAGGCTGAGGCAAGAGGATTGTCATAAGTTTGAGGCCCGCCTGTGCTACGTAGTGAGACAAAGAAATTATACCCCCACACCTCTAAAAAAAACATTCTAAGCCTGTGGACCATACAAAAACAGGCAGTGGGCCAAATTTGGCACATGGGCCATAGTTTGCCAATCCCTGATGTAATGCATGTACAGTATTCCTATAAAAATGATAGATGGTTGATCATTTTTCATCAGTAACATTGTTAATGGCAAGTTGATCTGGCAGTGTCTGGCAATTTACAATATAGGAATTGTGGAATATTGGAAGGAATCTTTATGAGGCCAGGAAAGTAAACTAGAGCTGAAAGACTGATTGACTGTTGCACTTTGACCATATTCTGGTTCACAAAATGAGTTCTCTGCTGCTTTTCATTTAAAATGTTACACAACTACTACCTACATTATTACTGTGTAATATCTCAAAACTTATTTTAGCAATACTGAAAATGGTGCCAAGTTGCAACCAACAATAATACAATTAACTAATGGTCGTTCCAAATGCCTTGACTATGGGCAGCATTTGAACAAGTTTATGTTATCACCTATTAAAATGTATACTAGGTGGTAAAACTCAATGAAAAAACATTTTGCATGCTTGTACCTTGTAACTGGTGCCAAAGCATGTCCTTTTAGGTATGTCCTAAAGTGATCTTATTGTGTTACCTTCATTTATACTAATTTTCCCAAATTGTAATAGAATCTCAGAATGAGCAGACCTTACCAAGAGTGTCTGACCAGCCAGTCCTGTTTCCTTGAGCCAGGATTGATTTAAACCGTACAGTGACTGAATACTCTTGGGGAAAAAAAGATTCTGTATTCACTCAAGTGTTTATTGAGTGGGTATATGTGCCTGATACAACATTGGACAAAAGGCCTTAGATTTGACTGCCTAAAATCTAATCATTACCCTTCACTTGCAAAACTTCTGTTTCATGTGCTCACACTAAGTCGTTGCTAACCACACCTGAAAATCAGTATGACCTTTGCTATATGCCTTTGTGCCGTGGTTGTGATGCCTGTCCAACTGCATTAATAATTTGAGGACTGTATATTCCACTTAAATTTTATTATCCTTTGTGCAAAACTATATTGGTAAAAAAAACATACTGATAATGTTGAAAGTGTAAATTGGCAACAACTTTCTGAAAACCAATTTGGCAATATCTATTAGGAACTTTAAAAATATTTATATCCTCTGATCCTCTAATTCTATTTCTGGGAATCTATCCTAAAGAAACAATCTAAAATACAGGCAAACTTTATGCTTAATAATCTAAAACTCCAACAGCAGAAAATTGGTTAAAATTATATTATGACTGTACAATAGACTAGTATGTTATTATGAAGAAGACTGTTTATAGAGTATTTCACAGCATGGCAAAATGCTTATGATGTTTAGTGAAATACGTGATACAAAATTGTGTATATTTGTCCAGAAAATGTGTTTTAAATTACTAAAAAGCACATGCTAACTCTAGGTCGCTGAATTATGGGTGTTTTAAATTTTTTCCTGGTTTTTATGCTTTAAAGAATATTTCTCCAAACTCTTTTACTTTTATTATCAATTCTTTAGAAAATAGCATTGAGAGTTGGCAATGGAGAATAGAGGCCACATCACTAGTTTGATCCATAAATAATTAACTGGAGGATCAACATGGAGGCTATATGATATTTATGTTGGTGGCAAGAGTGAAACAGAAGAGGAAAGATCCTGTCTTGAGAAGATATGACCAGAATCCCTACTTAAAACCAAAGTGGCTGTGAAAAGATACCATGATTGGCATGCCCATTTTATCTTGTCCTAGGTAGCTAAAATAATACTGGTACTTATGAGTCAACTATACTCTGGCAAATGGAAAAGGATATGAAATTCTGTCGGGTCAAATTAACCACCTTTGGATTTCACTCTCACATTCTGTCATACAAACTGATTTTTTTTTTTTTTTTGGTACCAGGTATCGAACTTGGGTCCTTGCACTTGTGAGGCATGTGGCAGAACCACTGAGCT